AGATTTTAGAAAAAAAGTTAAAATATAAAATAAAGTTTAACATACCTGTAGAAATACACATAGACAGTATAAGTCAAAATATATCCTTTATTGACAGTCCAAGAAATTATGACTGTCTAACCTTAAACTGTCTCTTTTATAGGTATGTTTTGGAATTGTTTGAAAAGAATAATTAATTTATTAATGGGTTTTCACTTTGAAGTTATAAATGTCAAAAACTAAGAAGGAAACAAAGTTGTGATATTTTACTCAGCTATTATTCTGCATTTGTTTGTATTTACTCTATAAAAAACAGTCCATCTGTTAAACAAAGAGAAGTGTTAAAAAGACCTAAAGTGTTTTCTAGGCTTAAGCAAAATGTGTTGATTTAACAATATCTTAAGTATGTTTGACATGTTAAGAATGATGGTTTCTATCCCAAAGTTTGAAGAAGTTATTACTGTAAAAATACATGTTATTTTAAGGTTTAAATTTGAAAATACAAACAAGTAAAATATAGATACAAAAATGTACAAAAATATGCATTATGTAATATAAAAATATAACTCATATTTGAGGTTTCTTATAATAGGATGAAGTTCTTAATTACTTTGAAGATTAAATTGGATGATCAAAGGTCAATGTCATTTTGCTCTTGAAAATCAATAAACCATTTCTACGGAAATCAACTTGTTTAGAGCATTATCAAACTTATTAGGCTAAACTGTTAAAGACACCATTAGTTATTTTAGGCTAAGAAGGTCAAAAGGTCAAGGTCACATCTGAAGTGATCATGTAAGAAAAAAGGCAAATATTATGTGTTATATGTAATACATTTTGCAGCTGATTTCTAATTTCTTTTCATTGGTATTTAACATCTCTTGTTGCTGTTTGTATTTGTTGGTCCAGAAAATATATAGAAGGAATTTTACCCTGACTTGATTATTTGTTCTATTGTCTGCCTCCGTATGAGACCTATTTATTTGTAATGTCTTTTTTATGACTATTTATCTTCAAGTCATTGGATAGGATGCCAGTCTTTGATGATGGCAGAATAGGAGCTATAGACCAGGAACAATTGGGTGTTCACTGATTAATCAATGCCATTAAAAGCATGTGTTTTGGCTTGGAGCATTTTTCATATTGATTGATGTTAGGATCCTACTGACAGATAGGCAATGTTTTGTTGACTCTAGAAAGGCTGTACTATAATTTGTTTTTTGTTGTTGTTTTTTTTTAGCTCACCTGAGCAGATTTTGACCAAATTAGGTATTGTGATCAGCCGTAATAATGTCTTTTGTTGTTGTCAGCTTTTGTTTTGAATAAAATTACATCTTCCCCTATACCACTTGGCAAATTGTGAAGTTAGGAAAACAGATCTTTAAATGGTCCAAAAGAAATAAAATCATTCAGGTCCTCTGGAAAACATGGTTGCCAGACTTAGATATAGGAAAAACATTTAAAAGACTAATCTCCTTTACCAGTTGGCAGATTTTGTGGATTGTAAACTTTGATGACTTTAACCATGATATTTTGCTTGGTTTCTTAGGTGAGCTACCCAGGACTCTGAGGGCTCTCTTGTTTGTTGTCAGTATGTTTTTATGTGGTAAGCTTTTTGGTTTGATTTTAAGTCTCATTGTTAAGTAGCAACTTTACTGCCATACTGGTGGAAGAAGATGACATTAGATCTGCCATGTATGCAATTCATTTATTGCATAATTTGACAATACCTAAATGTAATATACTTGTGGTCAAATATGAACAGCACCATAAATATGGACATCTTATGGATTCTTGTTAACTTGATGTATTTAAGTAATATGTTTCTTTTATTAACTGATACTTTGACGAAATGAATTTTAGGAATCATGCATTTGTGCCATACAAGTTTGTAGGCATTTGCCTGAAGTTCAGGTTTTTCCTACTCCTGAAAGCTCATTAATTTACCCATATAAAACAAACTGGAATGATACTAAATTCAAGGTTTTCATGTTTTATGATATTTTCAACTTGCACCCATTGGCCAAATGGCATTTTACGACCAGTAGCTTTCAGAGATGGAAAAAAAAGCACAAGAAGTATGAATTGATATTTCTGACATAAAATACATCAAATACATGTGAAAGATTTTGTACAATGCCTTAAATCAATTTGCCAACATAGCTTGTTCAGTGCCTGTCAAAGAAACTGATCTTTTATCAAAATGTTTCATGTCAACTTTCACTGCGCTTATACGACATGCAATTGGGAGGCAGTCTTTAGAGGTAATTGTATTATATTGCCCACATTGTGGCATGACAAATCCCTCTAAAATCCTGATGAAAGACACGGCTTAATTGATATTTGAAATGATATCAGATTCAGCCATAAAGTATATATGTCTGTGCGGAGTATAATTCCTTTTAAGTCCACTCCTGTGTTGTGATGTTTACTGTAAAAGTTACTGGATGAAATATCGTTTACTGAGATATCTCCACCGGATAAGTCAAGTTCGAAGTTGTGTGTTCTGACCTTTTACTGCTCCAGTCGATCAGGTCACCTTGAAATTTATTAAAAAAAATTTATTTGCTTCTCTGATGTCGTGCCACTTTAAAAATTGATTTATCATTGAATCCACTTGTATTGTCTGATCTGGTCAATATTTATAGCATATAAGGACATAAAATGACATAGATGTAATGTTTTCTGTTATTCGTCCAACATTTATTAGAACAGAAAGATTTCCTGTTTATTTGCAAAGCAAATTGCCGCCACGGCCTTAAGATAGCAGTTTATTATACAGACATAATTGAGACTGCTGACTACGGACAAAATAAAAAACCCGAGTGTTTAATCAATGCCCGTAAGAGCATATGTTTGGCTTGAATGATGTCATATATTGGCTGATGGTTGAATGCTGGAGACAGATTGCTTGTGATAGATGGTGAGTTTTTGCAGAAAGAGAGTAAATAACGTGATGGAGAAGTAATTGCTAACATTCATGATTTGTAAGTCTAAGTCAACATTTAAAGTAGCAGTAAAGATATTAGGGTAGCAGTAAAGATGAAAGATGGCAGTAAAGATGTAAGATGGCAGTCAAGATGTAAGAAAGCAGTCGAGATATAACATAGCAGTAAAGATATAAGGTAGCAGTAAAGATATAAGGTAGCAGTAAAGATATAAGGTAGCAGTAAAGATGTTACAAAGCAGTAAAGAAGTAACATAGCAGTAAAGAAGAAACATAGAAGTAAAGATGTAACATAGCAGTCAAGATGTAAGAAAGCAGTAAAGATATAAGGTAGCAGTAAAGATGTAACATAGCAGTAAAGATGTAACATAGCAGTAAAGATGTAAGATGGCAGTTAAGATGTAACATGACATAAAAGATTTAAGATGGCAGTAAAGATGTAACAAAGCATGTAAGGTAGTAGCAAATGATTATGTATGGTGGAAGTCAAGATATAAAATATAAGTCAAGAATAACATAGCAGTAAAGATGTAACATGACAGTCAAGATGTAACAAAGCAGTAAAGATGTAACATAGCAGTAAAGATGTAACATAGCAGTAAAGATGTAGGATGGGAGTCAAGAGGAAAAACAGCAGTATTATTAAAGATATAACACAGCAGTAAAGATGTAACATAACAGCAAAGATCTAAGGTAGCAGTAAAGATGTAATGTTGCAGTCAAGATGTCAGATATAAGTACAGGAAAAAGGTTTGTATGAAAAAGCTTCAAAACACTTAGGTATTTAAAGTGTTTTTCTATTTTTGAATAAGGTAAGTATATGTAAATCAATACACACTAAAGTAGTGCAGTATCTAAAAAAGGAGAACATTTTATGGTTATCAAATATTCAAATTAAAGTGCCTACAGTACTTTGATTTTAATTTATTTGAATTAAATAGTCATGAATTTGTTGTACATGAGACGTTTTATATGTATTTTATAAATAATTTACATAACTATAGCATGTGCATTAATCATTGTTTTAAAAATGCCACTGGATGTTGGATAGTATTAAAAGTCACACCATTGCTCTGTCTCAATTGTACATGTAGTTTTATCTGGTCTTTAGTTGTCAAACATGAAGAAATTATCATTTTACTTGGCAAAAGTATTTAGAAAAGATGATAATTATGTCCCCTGCATGGCACACTTCCTCCATTCAAATGTGAAATCTGTAAAATTATGAAACTATATATACCCATGCAAGTCATGACCTGTCTGAAGTTCTTTGCACAACAGATTATGAGATAGGTTATATAAATTTTATACAGGCCATGTGTCTTTTGTCTGAAAGGTCAAGGTCACACATAGGTTTTTTAGGTAACAGACCATATATATATAATATATGTTCACACATTGGAATCCAGACTTACATAAATACTAGTATTTTTGCATTTGATAACTTACCACAACTGTTAAACATTTCAAGTTGCCTTGAAGGTCAAGGTCACACTAAGAGTGGCCTATTTTTAGCTCTTAGAAAATGAGGCTTCATTCATTCATTCATTCATTCATTCATTCATTCACTGACATAACCAAATATTTAAGACTTATCCAAATATTTTTGACATATTCAAAAATTCAAATATTTTTGACATATCCAAATGTTTGTAGACATATTCAAATATTTCAGACCATTCTTATTCTTTAAACAGATTCTTATTCTTTAAACAGGTGTCAAATTTTGTAGTCATATTCAAATATTTAAGACATTTTCAATTGTTTTAGATATACCCAAATATTTCAGACTTATTCAAATATTTCAGACCTATTCAGATAGTTCAGATTTATTCAAATATTTCAGACCTATTTGAATATTTCAGACCTATTCAAATATTTCAGACCTATTCAAATTTTTCAGACCTATTCAAATATTTCAGACCTATTCAAATATTTCAGACCTATTCAAATATTTCAGACCTATTCAAATATGTCAGACCTATTCAAATATTTCAGACCTATTCAAATATTTCAGACCTATTCAAATATGTCTGACCTATTCAAATATTTCAGACCTATTCAAATATTTCAGACCTATTCAAAAGAAGCTGTAGAGCATGTACAAGAGGCATTAACTATGGCACAACGAAGTAAAACACTTGATAAGGACATCTTTGAGGTAACAGGACCTGATATTGTACAGTGATCTGACCATTCCGTGTCTTGAACTGGGAAGATACTTTGGCTTAAATTGATCATCAAAGTGTCTTCCAGTATTTCTAAAGATTTCTTGTATCATAAACCAGCTAAAGTGTGAAATGTTAGCTTAAATGGGTTACCTAAGATGGGGATTTCGTTTTTTCAGAACCTTACATACTTTCTTAACTCTGTCATAGAGTCATTGATTTTATTTTTTTTTAAAAATGGCTATTTCCCAATTTTTTTGTCACTATTTATTTTCCCCTTTCATATTTGCAACTGTTTATTTTCCCCCTTTCAGTTTTGGCAATGTTAATTTCCCACTTTCATTTTTAGAAATAAACCTTTATTGTTGCAATGTTTATTTGATTTTCCCACTTTTAAAGGAACCCCACTGAGGTCCAAATACCTAAAAACATAAAATTTGAAATTTTTAAATAAATTAGCTGGGGAACTTTAAACAGAAAAAAATGCAAAAGATTATTAAGAAATATACTTAGAAATAAATTGAAAATTGTATTTTGTGCTATTCCTAGATCGATTTGGGTGAAAAGCGTTGCAACGCTTTTAGATTTTGGCTCATTTTTCACAATTTGAATAATTTATTCAGGGAAAATAAAGTGATCAAGTGATCTGAACTTTTGCACACAAGTCATTGGTCTAGACCTACACAGAATAGAATATTAATCTCGAAAATTATTTCAGGTCCTGTCATGTCAAAAAACCTCAGTGGAGTCCCTTTAATTTTTGGCAATGTTTATTTCCCACTTTTTTGGGAAAAATTGATTCCCAATTTAACTGAAACTTCAGTTACAAACTGTATTTTTGAGAACACATTCTGAACTTTTCTAAGTACTAGAACTACCAAGCAAAAAAATGTGAAATTTAATCTGTTACCCTCATCCTTCTTCACTTTGTATAAAAATGGAAATTTTCCAGCATCCTTTATTTTCCCTTGAGTATTTACTGGATTAAGATACAAGAAATCTTATAAGAAAAAACAAAACAGATCTGCAAACACACTTTTTTTAATCAAAAAGGAGTACACAGTAAGAGCTTCCAAACAGTGTCTTACTAATTTTAATACAAAAAGGAGTGCACAGTAACAGCTTCCAAACAGTGTCTTACTAAATTTGAGCAAAAGTGAGCATTCTTTCTATTTGGAATAGTCCATTGTCAATTCCGGTGAAATTTTTTTTCTTCAAAAAAGTCGTCTTAAAACTGGGTTAGGGTAATTTGATTGAATGTTAAGGAAAAATGATAATTTGGACTTTAGACTAGCAATTTTACTTTGGTTAGTTAATTTGCTTAATTTTTTTTATGAAACTTTACTTCCCTGCAAATCTTGCACAGTTTTGAGTTTTAAAAAAATGAATAAAAATAAGAAAAGAAGAAGAAAAAAAAAAGACCTACTTTTTGCTGTTAATTGACCTTTTATTTGAAGTAATGGCAATTAATTGACATATTTTTCAACTGACAAAAGCTATTTTTGATTTTAATTAGTTGTTAATTGAAAATCTGATATTCAAATTATATCACGTCTTTAAATGAAAAAGCTGTTGACTTCTCTATTTTTGGTTAAAAATTGTGGTTTTCAGGTTTGTTTTTCAAACAGACAGTCAGGGATGGTCAGTATGTAGTGTATATGTTGTGGTTTATTTATGTCTATGTTTTTGTATGTTTCAGAACTATTCTAAGAAGGCTTTTGAAAGTGTGAGAGAACAATTTACTCATGCACAGCGCACAAAGAAATTAAGTACCAATTTGTTTGAGGTAAAGAGTTTAAAAAACCAAAAACATCACGGTTATGCCTTCTAATATATTGGACTTGGGATTTCTTATGCTTGTTGCTGTTTTTTAAAGGGTCTGTTATATAAAAACAGTTTGTGTCACTTTTAAGCAAAACTATAGTGTTTTAGTTAAGAACAAATCAAATGTGGCCTCTTGGTCTGAAATTTTATAAGTAGAAGATATGAAATTTTTTAAAACCAGTCTTCAAATTAACCCACTCATTTCATTGGTTAATTTTGTAGCATATATATTTGAAACCCACTCATACTCATATGATTGGTTAATTTTGTAATGTATATTTGACATCCGCTCAAATGGTTGGTTAATTTTGTAATGTTGATTTGAAATCCACTCATATGATTGGTTAATTTTGTAGAGATTTGAAATTGACCAATGGTATTTAAATGTTTGAATTTTGAGGCTGGTTTCTTATTTAAAGTTTTATTACATTGTAGTTTTGCCTTTTTGTGATGAAATTTTCTATCTCTGATTTTATCATCCTCATTTTGTACATGTAAATGTGGCTGGAATGAATGCTTTGTATTTAACTGACTGCATTGAAAAACTTCTAAAACTAATGTTTTTTAATTAATCTGGATTGAATAGCAGAACAAATACTATGCAAAAAATTTACAGCCATTAAAGCTTAATTTTTTTTAACTTGACAGCTTAAAGCTTAAAACTTAAAAACATATTTTACAGAAAAAAGCGTTGAAAGCTTAGTTTAAATTTTTCCAGCTTAGAATTTAAAAAAACTTCATTTGAAGTTTCAAGGTAAAGGTTCCTGAAATTTGTATAGATTTAGTTTGGTGAAGGAATAAAAACTTGTAACATGAAAAAACAAATAAATGAGAATAATACTATGTTGTTATGTTGCAATATTATGCAACATATGAAAAAACCTTTATTTATTTAGTTTTAACATTGATTTTAACACAATTTTTTGGCCATATCTCATCGGTTAGTCCACCTTAAACTAGCTTACTTAGATAACTTACCAGTAATTAGACCAATTTCTTTGCAAGTGATCAACTTCTCATTATTTCTGAATCAGCTGTTAGAGACTAATGACCATTAGATTCAATGTAAGATCAATTGTTACTCATATGAGCCGCGTCATGACAAAACCAACATAATGGGTTTGCGACCAGCATGGATCCAGACCAGCCTGCGCATCTGCGCAGTCTGATCAGGATCCATGCTGTTTGCTTACAAACTTTATTACAAATGGAGAAACTGATAGCGAACAGTATGAATCCTGATCAGACTGCGCAGGCTGGTCTGGATCCATGCTGGTCGCAAACCCATTATGTTGGTTTTGTCATGACGCGGCTCATATGAATTTGGCCTGAGGAGTAAACCAGAGTTAAACATGGCATTTGGGCATATTTTAGGCTAAATTGCATAGACCTTTAACCTTTGCATTGAAGTTCAAAATAGCTGTAATACTTAAATGAACATAGAGTTGTGGACGTATTCACTGGAGCATGGCATAAAAGTAGCATCAGTCTTAATTCTGGGGAGGAAATAAGAAGAGCTATCATTCCCGTCTCGTTTTGTAATACTGAATGCCAATGCATAACATATGCTGCCATGATATAGTCTGCATGCTCTTCTTTAAAACTTATATAGAATAATGCTGTTTAAATAAAAATTCAGAAACATAATATTTTGTACAAATGATCTCCGCTTTCAAATTCATTACTGTACAGTCAGTTGAAAGAAGAATCTATTTTACAAATGCTTCAAATTGTTTGATATTTATCTAAAACTTAAATCTGTGTACCATGGTCCTTACAGCATGACAGCTTGATGCTATAAATTCTTTGCATGTGAGAAATTTAACAAATCTGACTGAAGTTCAGATTGTCTTATGTCCTACATGAAAGTAATGTCTGTAAATAAGCATGCACAATTTTTGTTTCATAATGGTTAATTATAGAAACTTACTCACTTTCAAGGACATGTAAGCTAGCTACTGATTGGTAGATTGACAGGTCACAACCATGAAGGTCACTGTTTCTACTGTGAGCCTGAAATCTAACAAGCTAGATAGCTTTTAGTTGCTTGTTCTACTAGAGTGATCACTCTTTCCAAGTGAGCACTCTTGCCAAGTGACCAGTCTTGCCAATGAGCACTCTTGCCATGTGACCAGTCTTGCCATGTGACCACTCTTGCCAAGTGAGCACTCTTTCCAAGTTACTAGTCTTGCCAAGTGTGCACTCTTGCTAAGTGACCAGTCTCTTGCCAAGTGAGCACTCTTGCCAAGTGGCCAGTCTTGCTAAGTGAGCACTGTTGCCAAGTGGCCAGTCTTGCCTAGTTCCATTCCTACAATAACTTGATGTATAATGGCATCATTTGGCCTTTTTTTTTTAATAAAAATTACCTTCTGAAGTTGTTAAAACTCTTGACCAGTGAATGACCTTCACCTTCTATAAGTATCTAAAAACTCTTGTGTTGTGGTGACTTAAGCCATTATCTATCTAAGCTTAAATGTTGAGAAGAAAGATTGTACATGTATCTTATTCAAACTGCCCTCGATTCAGCTTCCTGAAACTTAAGTGCCGAGATATATTTTTTTATCGCTACAGATCAAGCAGATTTTACTGGTTTAAAGAAAAGTGCCGAAAGATTGATATGATTGTGTTCTGTATCATAACTCTCTAGATACAAATTCATTGATTTCCTTCGAGCTCTTGTGTCAATAGTACTTAAAGGCGTTTAACGGCAGATATTTTTCTATAAATGGTATTCTCAGAAAATGATACGAAGAAAATTGGTCTGGCTCATGCAAAGTGGTTATTTTTAGACTCATTGCTTTTTGCGTTTTGCTAATTATATAGAAGATTAGAGATTAACTATGATTTAAACACTGTTCCTGCTCGAATAATTGTATCCTGACATGAAGCGGCTTTAAAAGGCTCTAATACGGTTCGCCAGATATGTTTTTTTTGCTCGCTTTAATGATTTATCAATAGCTGAAATGGAATTATGAAAATCGTTCACGTGTATTTTTTGCTTATATGGAGTTCAGTCTAGCTGGCATTAAAGTTGGTTCATTCTTATTTCATACAAAAGGATCATGGCTTGGTTCTGATGTAATGAAAAGAAATTGATGAAATATAAATAATACTAAAGTTAACTCTTATCACCAAATAAATATCTTTTAAAGGACTGGTTTATTTTTCA